CAAAAGAGGAGGTTCTCAATTCGTCTGTATTTTTTTTTTATGTATGTTTGTTACGCGATTTCTTCGTCAATTGTGGACCGATTTTCAAAATTCTTTTTGTAATCGAAAGGGTATGCTCCCGAATTGGTCCCATTACCACTAATTCAGGATCTGATAATGGGATCCTAGAGAAATCGAGTGAAACCCTCACAATTATTGGGAATTTGACAGCCCGGACAACGTGTTTTAGCTACGAGTATTTCTTTAGCCAAACAAACCATGGCAACTGTCAGAGACTGCGCGATGTGATGTGCAGAGAATTTGCAGTATTTATGTCACCACAGTAATTTTCGTTGTATTAAGAAGAAAAGGTTGAAATTTTGTATTCTATCTTGTTAAAATAATTCGGATAGACGTTTAGTTGCTATGGATGGCATCGCATTTCGTTTGTAAGTAATTTTATACTTAATATATTAAAATAGTTCTAAAAAAAACTCTTAAATTTTGGGTGGGTCAACTAGGTTAATTTCTAACATACTAGTATTAACCCTTCTAGTTGGAACTCCTTCTATAAAATATTGAGCATATTTGTTGAGTAGTCTCACTAAAGCTTCCCTATCTTTACCTTCGAGATCAGTGTCAATTGAATCGGAAGTTATTTTGTTCGGTTGCAACTCACAAGAATTTGACTGTTTCTTAGAAAAGAATTTAAGCTGATCTTGATCAGTTTGGACGCCAATGTCATTTTCATATCCTACACTAAAAATGGTAAAATAAACCCTTTTTAAAAAAAAAGTTGAACCGACTTCAAAAAACACCGACAAAGAGCACTAAAAATTAAAAAATAATTACAAATCCAAGTAAAAAACTATAATAAGTACCCTCAATGTAACAGGTAACATTATAATACCAATAGTCCCTTCTAGTCTGTTTGAAGTCGGTGCCAAGCTCGATGTACAATAAGTAATACTGGTCTATGTCAGCTTTATATTAGCACAATGAAAAATTAAGAATTCAAAATAATTCGAATGAAACATCGAAGATTTTGTTAATTAATAAAGACCAACCAGATCAATTACGTGCGCAAACTTATCAACTACTTATTAAAGAATTCAAAATAATAATATAATTGGAGATGTGCGTCCACTTTAGCTCATTCATCATGTTTTGCGCAGCATGAAGACTGTTGCAGCTGCCGCGCTACATTCTACCATGCCTATCAAGCACCTATTTGGCTTGGCACCGACTTCAAACAGACTAGAAGGGACTATTGGTATTATAATGTTACCTGTTACATTGAGGGTACTTATTATAGTTTTTTACTTGGATTTGTAATTATTTTTTAATTTTTAGTGCTCTTTGTCGGTGTTTTTTGAAGTCGGTTCAACTTTTTTTTTAAAAAGGGTTTATAACAAATATTTTTTATTGTTAACTAAGAATTTATCAGAACGAAATTATGTTACATCGACCTTCATAATACTAATCTTTGGTTACCATTGCCTTGTGACTGGTATTACATATATCATTATGTATTTCTACACATAAGAAGTGCGATTATAGCTTTTATTTGCACAATGTCGTTACCAACAAATAATGTACAACACGATCATTAACCTCCCACCTGGGAGGGAATTCGAGAATTTCAAAGATTGGTATTGTGATGTAGTGAAAACCTGTTTTTGTGCGCTTACACATAAATTTATCAATTTTTAAAGAACTAGTGTTCCTCTTAAAATGTTTGTGAGCCAGGTCCTGACGTAGGTAATTACCTATATCTTTCGACTGGTAAGAGGAGAATCTGTGTAAGATACTCATAAACTAGCTCTACTTTTGATGACTGCTTGATGTAACAGTCTCATACAAATTTTGCCGTCTTGTCCTTTAAATACTTTTTTTATTCATTGAGAAGACAACTAGTCCACAACAAACGGTGAGTACCATGTCCTAAAAGATGGCATTGACTATTATCATTGACTTGATTTATGCCTTATGTTAACAAATATCCATAATCCGTCATGAATAATGACTTATAAGCTTATACTTGTGATTAAGAAAAAACAGGTTTATACTGTGCTAATTCGAAATGTCAAGTTATGATTGACTTGGGTGCAGGTACTTCATAAATGAAGATCAACTGAATACCAAAAATATAATGTCATTGCAAAAGAATAAATACTCATTGATAAGTTAAATGTATTAATATGTTAGTTGTGTCAACAAACATAATAAACATAGAAATACTTTTATTGGGTGTATTTTGTTAAGATAAGTTAGGGCCACCCTGTTTGTGTTACCCCAAAGGGGGCAAAAAATGTTTTTTTCACGTATTCATGAATATGCATCATCCAAATCGACAGTAAAATAGTTGCCTAATTAAGTAAATATTTTATTTTGAAATATATTATTATCATACAGAACGCAATTCAATGATAAATGAAAGCCTTCACCTACCTTCCCTTTTCCAAATTGAATTGTAAATATTTTACATAAATTTTAGCAAACTACGCTGTGAAGCTCCTTTATTTAAAAATATTTAAGGTCAAGTCGATAGAGTGTAGTTCATTTTTCACCTTTTTTGTTTTTTTTTTTGTCCGTGCGGCAATCCCCTCGGATACCACCTGTCGGTGGCATGTCGGACTCGAACCGACTAAAACCGCACGCCGTCTCGGGTACTAATAGTCGGGGAACCAGGTATACCCTAGAAAGGAAGTCCCTGGTGCCCCGACATACCTCGGGCCATCTACAACAACAGGTAGACGACCCCCCCCCCCCGTGTGGGAACCCCATGTTCCCTCTTCTCCCTGGAAGCGAGCGCGCTTCGCAACGCGCTCGCCGCCACCCCGGCCTGCTTCTGCTAGGGTGACAGATGGCCTCACCTGTCACCCCCAGGCCTGCGCTTATGGAGGACGGAGGTCGTTCTGCGACCTCCGGTGCCTGAGTCGCCTGCGGTACCTGGCCCGTTCCCGGGCCTGGCGGGCCGGGAGAGTCCTAAACCTCTCCCGGTCCCGCTCCGCCGTCTCCTTCGCGAGACGGCAGAGTTCCACGCACTCTCACTCCGCACGATAGCCGCAATCAGGCTATCGAGCGAGAGAACTACCACTCTGATGGCCGCCACGAGGTCTCGCCTCTGCTCAACCCACGCCGGGCACTCTGCCAGCGTGTGGAGAGCCGTGTCCACGGTCTGGCCATCGCAGTGGTGGCACTCAGGCGTTGGCTCCTTGCGGATCAGACACAGGTGATCCCCGAAACATCCTTTCCGAGTGATCACCTGCGTCAGTCGGTATGAGAGGGTCCCGTGACGCCTCTCGAGCCAATCGTCCATAACGGGTCTTACCGCCGCGATGACGGCGTGCCCGGCGCTCGGTTGCCCGAGTCGTTCCTTCCACTCCCCTATGATGACCTGGCGGAGTTGGGATTTCCGGTCATCGATTTCTCGAGTCTCGGGACACCGACCCAACTCCCGCGCCTCCTTGCGCCACTTATACAGAGCCGCAAGGGCTCTCGCCTTCAGGTCCCATGGTGGAGTTCCGGCTAGGAGACTCGCGGTCAGTTGTCGTTTATTAGTAATACTAATTTAGTATTATCAAGTCGTCAAGATGAATTTTAAATGTTGGGTAACACTATATTGGTTGCTTCTTTTTTATTGAGTCGTTACTAATACCAGAATCCTTTTGATGTTATTGATTTTTACCTTACAGTACACATTCTGTTTGAACAATTAAAATTACTAATTTGTACTTGTTTTGGAATATCTCTTGTTCCTTTTTCGTATTTTACTTTTTTACAAGATGTGTTATGAAACACGTCTAGGTATAAGCTTTTATTTTAACGAGTATGTAGCCACATCAACATTTCTATGGAGAACTATTAACTACTTACCATTACCGCATAAGATAGAATCTCACATGTATTGAATATCAAGCAATTGTTCTAAGAGTAGGTACAACCTATTCATTACAGCCGCACTACTTACTACGTGCATTAACTAACGCTTTACGCAAGGTAACGTTTGGAATGTATTATTACAATTTATATATTTTCGTGATTACATTTCGATTTCGATTATCGTGATTACAGTAGGTTGCGTATAAAAGTTTATTCTTCTTTAGTAGGTACTTAATTATTTTCTAATATTTGTTATTAATACTTACGTAACATTTACGTTTGGATTTTGCAATACACTAACATCAGACAATTGCAATGTATAACAAGATGACACTTTGCAATATTTAATGTTCATAAAACATAAATCATGAAGTTCAATGATTTGAAAGATTATCGACGAAAAGGTAATTAATTTGCACTCTTTGGCGTAACAATAGGTAACTACGCTTCCGATGTTTGTAATTCTATGGCAAATCTCAAATTGAAAAACTATAATTTATTAAATTGATTAGCTAGGTCGTTTATACCTATTTTGAGTTTGTATCGCTTGAGTTTGTAAATAATAGTACATTGTTTCTAATTCTAATAGAATGTGATTACTACTTATTATAGTCGCGTAATATTGTAACGTATTACGCAAAAAAAAGATCGCGTACCGCGTGTTTATTGTCAAGAGTGAAAATGTACCAAGTTTCGCCATACACGTAAGTAGCGGATCGCCGCTTACGATGTTCTATCTGGGTCATATTATTTCGCATTTCGTAAATACTTACAGACCCATATCGTTACACCCAATTAAATAGGGACAATGGGGATATTAAAACACTGACATCACAATTGGCGTGGCCGTTTATTAAATCGGTTTCAGCTCGTTCATCCAAAAATATTCGTAGAGATTAAAAAAACACCATTTTTCACTAAAAATAACAGGTACATAAACTCAAACATAACTTTAACCGATTAAAAAAAATATAACAAAAAATAATCTAAAAGAGTATTTAATCCAGTGCTTTCGTGGAATACGAGGTCCTTGGATCTGGTATAACGACCACTATCCTGCGGGTATTTCGCATCCCTTATTATGTGCTAAGCTTATAGTTATGTATCACATTCAGACGTTACTGCTTCCTGCAGCCTTAGTAGCTATCATGATGACCATATCCGTGGCCGTGTTCATGACCGACGACAACGGGGTATGGTACCTTCACTGGGTAAGGCACGGGCTTCTCGATGTGCACGGGAACATGTTTCTCGATGTGGACGGGGTAGGGCCTGTCAACCGGAACCTTGACAGGGTAGGGCACAACCTTCTCTACTGGGTAAGGAATGTGTTTCTCAACGGGGTATGGGGCGGGTACTGGCACTTTAACGGGGTACGGCACGGGTTTGTCAACATGTACGGGGTAAGGTCTATCAACTGGGACCTTTACGGGGTATGGGACGGGCTTCTCAACTGGGTAAGGCACGGGTTTCTCTACAGGGTAGGGTACAGGCTTGGGAATGTGTACGGGGTAAGGCCTGTCGACGGGCACCTTGACGGGTACGTGCACTTCCTTGTATACTGGGTAGGGAGCAGGTACATGTACTGGCACCTTCACTGGGTAAGGAACCTTTTTCTCGACTGGGTATGGAGCGGGCACATGAACCTTAACGGGAACGTGCACCTCCTTTTCAACAGGGTAGGGTTGGGGCACATAGACCTTGACGGGAACGGGCCTGTCTACATGTACATGAACGGGGTATGGTACTTTCTTTTCAACAGGGTAGGGAGCTGGTACATGTACGGGTACTTTGACGATCTCTTTGACTGGGTAAGGTACGTGCTTCACAACAGGGTAAGGTTGAGGAACGTGCACCTTGACAGGTACAGGAACATGCTTCTCCACTGGGTAGGGGATGTGCTTCTCTACGGGGTATGGGACAGGGACCTTCTTCACCACAGTAATGGTTTTGTGAACGTTAGAGTGGGAGTCGTGACTACCGTAGTCACCGCCGTAGCCACCGCCATAACTACCACCAAAATCATTACCGAAACCACCTTCGTATCCGCCGTGTCCTCCATATCCCAAGTTGAAAAGTCCTCTCTTTTCATGCTTCTTTTCGTCCCCTGCTACTTCTTTGTTGTCGGTCACTGCCACTTCCTTTTCTGCTGTCTTGGCTTCTTCAGCATTGGCGAAGGCCAAGAGAGCCACCAGACTGGCGGCCACGAGCTGTCGACACAAAAAGAACATAGATTAGTATCAAGAACTGGAACAAATGTGATTGTTAGAATGGCATCGAAAGTTATTATCGCAGTTGACTTATTATCTAGTACGAATATGTTTTGAAGATTGTTGTTTTAATAAGCGGTCGAGTTAACATCGATGCAAACAACGACACACAAACTATGCAATTTCCTCGTTGCGTAAGCGGTCAAAAGTGGGACAAGGGAACTTGTACTTTAATCCAGACACTGTCACAACCCTATGGAATGTTAATTGCCAGTAGCCACAATCACTTATTTGTTATCGTAATTTAACAGTTTTTTAAATTTGAACACACCATGTGTCTCATGATGCTGCACTAGTAGGTTGCACTGAAGCCAGTGAAGTCCTGAATGCGAATGATGCGTGTTCGTTCATAGCGTCGCTATATATATGCGGTAAGAGCGGCCGACCGAAGAAAAAATGGCGGCACTCTGTAGGACTATGTTACACTTTCGCTTTTGAGGGGTTTGGATTTGAGCGAGCCAAAATGCTCTATATCTGTCTATACCGAGATATGAGTCGACCGGTTTACAAGCAATGATATAATTTAAATATAATTAACGTAATCGTCTAACGCCGATCTGTGAATGCTTTTCCTTTGTACGTACTGTTTCAAGGTTCTTAGTAAATGTTTAGGTAGTGCTTCGGATGTGTATATTACTTGAAAATTACATTTTTAAACTTTGATGTTGGTGAATTTGTTTGACTGGTTTTTATCACTTCTTAATGTAATTTACGTGGCTAATATAGATTTATGTATTTTTTAAATTTAATTATGGATAGATATTAAAACAAAATATATCTGCGAAAGCTAGGTTTTGTTGTAGTTCTAAATTCTTTTCTAATTAAGTAATAGTGTAGGTATCCGATTGAAGCAATATAGGTAAATAAACATATTTTTATTTTATTTAGCTTTTACATTTAGTATGTTACAGTTATTCGTTTATCGCATTTTTTTAAAGTATGTAATTACCGTGTAGATAAAGCAATTTTATTTTAAAACAGTTTTATTTTAGAAAACGAATAGAAATTTGTGAATTTCTAAGTTGTGTATTTATGAAAGAATCTTTATTAAAATTGTTTTTACTATGTTTTAAGCTTTAGCGTTCTGTTATGTACAGTATTTTGAGACAATATTAAAGTTAGTAGAAAATTCAATCCATGAAACTTGCGCACTCTCTTTCTATGTACATATTCAATTTTGTCAATAATGTATTATTGTTTATATGGGAATAAACGTGATCTATAAGGTATTGTAAGTCAGCCTGTGACAATGGCCAGTGCAAGCTAGTCGAAATTGAAATTCAAGGGCATATAATACCTGTTGATAGTGTCATTTCCCTTCTTTAGAGCAGATATTAACAATTAAAGTCACAAAAAATAATTATTGAACGTTTTTCCATTAAAATACTTTTTTTAGGAGTTATTTTTTAAAATAGGTGCCTCACATTCTATATTGGTATTACTTGCAATTATGGCATATAAAACCTTAATAAAGTTGTAATTTTTCTTGCTATTTGTCACAAATATGCATAATTATACTTTCATGTGTCTACCTCAGTCCTCTCAGTCTCTGAATCGTATACCCCCTAGAAATTGAGACAATCCCCTGAATGAAATTATTGTATACTTCTGTGATTCTTAGTTACCAATATATATTATCTTTATTTATATTGTGTATATGGTTATATGCATTTGCATGTATGTAATAATTATAAAATATATATATATTTATTTTTAAACTACTTTAGCTTCAATACACCTAGACTGTTTCTTCTCATCTTCTGTCGAATTTTTCATCCAAATGTTGCCTGTGAGAGATTGCTATTAGCGAGAAGGTCGCCCATTGTACATATCCATCTGTAATATTTATATATATATATATTTTACATACTGTAATTGGTCTACCATAAAGCATATTTTATTCTATTCTTGTATGCTTCTGGAGAATTCGTTTTTAATAGTAAGTAAGAAAAGATGCTGCTTTTTTGAAAAGCTACTGGTACAACAAAAGTAATATTTTTACTTTACACCTTTACTTCACTTTTTAGTCAAAACTGTCAAAAAGGTTTAATTGAAAAGAATATAATATAATGACGCGAGAAGCGAGAAGCCCAAAATCGATCTAAGTGGCGTGCAATGGGAGAGGCCTATGTCCAGCAGTGGACTGCGATAGGCTGATGATGATATAATGACGTTCAATGTCATGAATGTTTAAAGTAAAGCAGTTAATTATCCTACGCAGGCCTATTTAAATTTTTTATTGTAGTAAAGTGTAAAAAAATAAATAAAAGATGAAAAGTCAAGAACAAATTCCAGAAATTAAATTTAAACCGATTTTTCTCTTCTTTCAATAATCTTATTATGGAAACTATTCCGATGATTCCGACGACACCTGTTTCATAAGTTCGTGATTAGTTGGTTATCCTACTGATTACAGATAATGTAATATACTAGGAACAATAAGTAAAATTCATTCACATTCTCGTTTAAGTCACTTTATCGGGAGTGTCTTTTGTTACAATTCCAATGATCCAACGATAAAGTAAAACTATTCATTTATGGGTAGCCTTCAATGAGTTACTCATTGCTTTATAACAGCCCCGGATCTATTGGAGTTGGCAAACCGGAACACCCGCCCCGTGCTGTAGTGTCAGGGGGCGCCAAAATCATAATATACTATGATTAAAAGTAAAAAACTCGCTTCACAAAGCGCCTAGCATACGGAAGGCTGGTTGGCTCACCGTCGACTTGTAAGAAAAAGGCCCACACTACAAGTAAACCTTTATATTTGTGAGTTTTTTTTAAGTAGTTATCTCAAGTTCTGGAAAGAGTTTCTGGCCCGGTTTGAAAAAATCGTAGATCCGGGGCTGGTTTAAAAAGAAAAACTGCATCATTTTTTACTATAAATTCTTACAACAATATGCAAATACTGTTGCCAGGTTATTTAACATAGCTTTTTCGCCCCCTTTTACTAACATTCTAAAAGCAGCTTATGTCCAGAAGCCAACCTCATAATTTTATTCAAGAATACTCAACCACGAATCTCGAATAATAATATAAATATCTACCTATAAAATAATACAAATATAAATAGCCCTATACAAATAACGTTTCTATTATATTTACACTTACAACAATATTTAAGTGTATTGTGTGGCGAACAAATTGTTGTTCTGAGTCTGGGTGTTGTTTGTGTGTTTTATGTATGTTTGTAAAGTCCCCGCGACATAGGATATACCAGTATTCCTAGTGCGAGAGTTGTTTAATTATATTTTTTGTAAATTATAAAATATAAAGTATTGAATGAACAATGTGGTTACGAGTGAGCGGTATAAACCGGATTAGTCTTCCGTCACCGTTCTATCTGTTTTGTTACTTACGTAACATTCGTGTATTCTATTTCAATATTAAAAGCCACATACATTGTATTGGCACTCCTAAATTCCTTAATGCCTAAACCATCTGTATTTCTAGAGAAGTAACAGCCTTGTTATAATGGAAAACGTAATTAACTCAGTTCAAGTTTATATTCTTAGTCGCTAGATACTTGTTTGTTTTAAGGAAACACAATAGTAAATAAAATTTATTTACTTATTGATCGTTTTTCGTGAACTGTCTGTGTGTCTATATGAAATGTGTCATATACTCTACTGTCCCTACCTTACTATCAAGATTATTACAAACTATCTACCGTCTTATTATCTACCGTGGAAGTCTAAGGGTGTTAATTAATATATAGTCGTTATATATAAGATGTTTTATATATAGGATTTTCATCTGTGGTAAACATTTGAGAATATTAATATTATTTAATAATATACACAGCTTATATACGACTGCTAGATCCCAAACTAAAAAGAGCCTGTACTATGGTAACCAGGCACTGATAACCATGCTTTTGGATTTCTAAATTCCTTTCCTTCCTGATTTCCTTTAAAAAAATATTGTAATTCTATTTATTCCAGCGATTGTCTTCAAAGGTCTTTAAACATTTGTCCATATGAATATGCTTTTTATAATCATTCATTCAATGGGTATGAGCTCTAGTGATTACTGATTACTTCTGAGTTGAGTTATTCTTGGTTCTCAATGTAATTGCGTAGAAATATCAAGCAGAGTCATATTGCCAAGCCAAGCATAAAAGTTGTAGAGCGACCTAAATTTCGAAAAATAACGACAGACATTAAATATTACATAGAAAAATATAATTAAATAAGGTATATTATTAAAATAATAGACAATTGTTTTATTTTATTAGCACAGTGCACTGAAATGATATTTATTTTTATTTATACTTTAAAGTTCTGTATTTTTTTGTGTTTTGAAATCATGCTATAATTAACTTATTTTCAGTAAAAATACAATCGCTTTTTTATAATTTTTCTTAATTAATTGACTTTGTTGTGAGTATTTCTGTATATCTACCGATCAAACATTGTTATCATTTAAACACACCACTATAATTAAAGACAAGTGGGGTCAGAAATATGTACAGAAATGTAAATAATACATACGTTTTTGTATTGTTCAAGTTATTTTGGTTGTCTCTCTGTCTTTTATTGATGTTAACAAAATACATACAATTACTAAAGTTAACGTTATTATTTGGATATGTACGAACCTATTAATTGCTTTATTTATGAGCGGTATACACTAGCACATCTCGCATAGATTTTGAAAAAGTTTATTTAAATCTAAGCTCAATTCTTAGATTCATACTGACTGTTGGTCAAAACAGTTTTTTTTTAAATTTACCATTTAACGAACTGCTAGATAAAAAAAATAAGACCACTACCATATGCATATTAAATTACTATCGTCAAGATTATATTTGTCATATAGAACATGAGGTATGGCTTAGTTATTTGTTTTTTCTTTATTAAAGAAAGATTATAAAGAGCTGAGGACATAGTGTCGTCTTGTTATGTTATAAGTGAGTTAGTAATATATAAGTATATTTATAAGCAATCTGGTTTACAAAATACAGGTGCTGCCTAGTTTGAGATCAGACGTCCCTGTGTCTCAAGACATCTAGTCCAAGTCAATAATACCTACCTTGTTACCAATGGCATAACCAGGCCATGTTTAACGAAATCTGTGTTATAGAGGGGGGTAAGCAGGAAACGCTTATCGATTAGGCAGTCAGGCTATTTATCGTAATATTGCTTAAGTAATAACAGACATCAACTAAGGACGGTATGGACAGGGTGATTGTGTATCGCCTACGACAGCCACCTACTAGAAACCTGCTTAGCTACAACTGAATAGATTGCTGTTTCAGATAAAGATGTTTTAACTCTATTT